AGACTCAGAGACAGTACAGGGCCGCAGCACAAATTAGACACGGACAGAGACGGTACAAAACTGCCGCAGCCTCGACAGCCCACAGTGCTTTATTAGTTATCTACTAAATATTGGCAGTGTTCCCAGACACGTTTGCTATTCTCACACTTGAATTTCTCAGAGCCTTGAGAGTGAGTTCCGTATCTCGGCCCATACCGATGTTTTCATTGCTACCAGGGAAATACTGTGTGCAGCTGTTTCCACAAATCATCCCACTGTGTGCAGTACGGATGCTGTTTATGAGAACCAACTAGGACAGCCGTTTGCGTCCTGTCCTAGACAGATACAAGACTCTAGACACAGTGCTCCTCTCATGGCTCCTTCACATACCCTACCATATTGGAGACTATATCTATGTGCCCTAAAAAGTGCAAGAATAAAATGTTTGGAATTTCTGTGAGTTTGGGATTATAGGCAGCAAGATTAATCTAAGATTGATTGGATCAGAGTCTTTCAAACAACCATGGTATGCTTGACGTTTCTTCCCCAAAACCCGTAATGCAGAGAGCTTTTCTGGCATTGTAGCATCCTTAATGGTACCCATGACCTCTACCCACTAGATGCCAATAGTACCCCACCCAGTTACGGGAGGCAAAAAATGTTTCTAAACACTACCAATTCGCTTATGGATAACCCAGAACCCTCAGCCAAAGAGTCTCTTCCAATTCACACATATGCACAATGTGCCAGTGTAAAAAGTGCTCCCCCTACAGCTCTACCATGTACATAATGCCTACTTCTGCTCTCCATGGCTTGCAGGAATCCATCATCTGGAATCACCCGAAATACACAAGAGTCCTTTTCTTTTCATTTGTTCACGAAGTGACTGATCTCACATGCCAAAGGCCCTGCGGATGATGATTTCCAGTGACTTGCATGATCATGGGTGTGATCTGTTGTCAATTTGAGGATTAAGAGTGAACGGGTGGAGGTTAGCCTGTCGATCAGATCGCAGCTTGAGGATCTCATTTGGAGGCGCTAAGAGGATAAATAGCTCGCTGGAGGTGGGACACAGGCTCAGTCCCTGGGAGGCATTTTTGTTGACAAGCCACATGGAGACAGACTGATGGCAGGCAGAGCCTCGGAGCTGGGGAAGCCACGTGGAGACCCCTGCCAGCGCTTACAACCCACTGGATCCACAAGACTTCCCACTCACTGGCCTGTGATCTTCCTGCTTTTGGCATCATTGCATGTGTTGTGTGAGTCTGAAGAGGACTTTATAGATTGGTATCAGACATATGGGCTAATATCGGACTTATGGACTTGATCTGGACTGGGCTGCGATGTTTTCTCAATATTCAATTGCTCTTGTATAGAAAACACTTCCTTTCCTTTTTTTAACCATAAATGCTTTTTTATACACATATGAGTATCTATGAATTTGTTTCTCTAGTCTACCCAGACAGACCCAGTAGGGCTTGTTTTCATATCTCAAATTTGTCTTGGATTGATGGTTAGCTCATTGCTCCTCGTGTTATATGTATTCACCTATAGTTCAACCTCACTGGAAGAAACCCACAGATGTGCTTGTCTTGTACCTGCCATTGGCTAATGGTATCATCATCATGTCCAGGATGGTTCCAGGTTTAATGCCATCCTTCCTCCCTCAGAGGGAGACTTTCTGTGGATGATGTTGGTTATTAGACAGTTACCCAGGGCCTTCCCAAGTGTCCCACACCTTTCTTTTCTTTTTTCCTTATTTTTCAACAGTTTTATTGGCACATAATTTACACATCATTCCATTGAATAATTCAGTCATTCAATCATATCAAGGGGAATGGTACAATCAGCACCACATCTGTCTTAGATTACCCCCCCTCCCCCACCACATGATTAATCACCTTTAAAATGAGTTGTGCAATCACGATCAGTTCTAGTACTCCCTCCCCACTCCCACCTTCATTATTTACTCCCGAGATCCCCTTTCCCACCCTATCGGCCACCACCCACCCACCCCTGTATACCCTATAACACCTTGTATCTGTTATCATCATGATACATCCACTCCTCTTGTGCTTCACCACTGGGAAACCCAACAGAAAACAATGAAAAACAAATTGCACTAAGGGGGTAAGAATACAATCATATTAGTGTAAAGACAAAAATACAAATAACGCATGGGAGGGAGAAGACCCTCCACCAACATTCAAAAAGTCAGGGAAGACATTTCTGTCATGGAACATCTAACAGATGCTCACACCCAGAACAAATTCGGGCCGTGTCTATAGGGAGGTCAACTGGCCAAGTATCAAGTTCGATCCAGCATCATCAGATGACAATGATCTCTGCCTGATAGGAAGGCTGCCCGGGACTCTTGCCTGTGGCTAGAGCTGTCCCACATCTTTCTTGAGGGCATTCCAAACCATTCCTTTCAGCCCTCTTAATTTTAAATGTTGTTGTTGTTGCTGTTGTTGTTGTTAAATGCTATCAAGTCAGTCCCGACTCATAGTGACCCCATACACAATAGAACAAAACACTGCCCGGGCCTGCTCCATCCTCACAATTGTTCCGATGTCGGCGGCCCTCTTTGGGATGATGGAAGATTTGAACTGGGCTCCCCACGTTGGAGGAAGTAGCCACTGAAAACCTTATGCACGGATTCAAAATTCCGAGTGGCCGCGGCCACATACTGTTTTTCCTTTCTTTCCCTTCGTCTGGATCACCACCATGCTGATCCACATCTGGGTCTTCGTTCACATCGGAGTCAACAGGAATGTCACTCTTTGGGGTCTGGGTTTCCTTGAGTCTACTAGAAAGAAAAACAGTTTGCATAAGACCATTTGGTGCCATTTGTAAATGACGTGGTGATTCCCAGGTCTTCTCTTGGGGGTCCTCGTGGTCTGGACCAGTGTCTACATGGTGAGTTTTCTCTTCAGACACCACAAGAAAGTCCAGTACGTGGACAGCATCCACCTCTCCTGAAAACAATGCCACCCGAATCGTCCTTGGGCTCCTTCGTTGCTTTATTTTCTTTGATGGCAGAAACCACTGCTTCTTCTCCAGTTATTTGACTTTGGGATCTAAGGAAAACCCAAGAATGGAGAACATTCCTTGATTGATTTCATTAGGATACCCAACTGTTGTGGGTTCCAGTAAATGGAGACCACTACAATATCCAAATTCAATGTATGAAGTCTTTATTAATTGCATCAGGCTAGCCTGGACTGCAGAGGGGACGTTAAAAGGAAAAGTCTGCCATGCTAAAGTCCCAGTGTTCCTTTGGCCGAGCTTTTTGAAGCATTCAGAAAGCGAGCAGATCACAGAAAGCAGAAAAAGCAAGTTAAAAATCCATATATCAAAAAAATTTTAATAAAAAATAAATTAAGAAATAATAAAAAATAAAAATCCATATATCATTAAGCAAATGATATTGTGAGAAGCAAAATAAAGCAGATTTAAGTAAAGTTCTCTGGCACCTTGTTTTTATGTAACCCAAGAAGGATCATGGTTTTGTTCGGTTATGGGACAACGTTGAGTCTGTTCCAAATCATAGCGACCCTATAGAACCCAGAATGAAGTCCTGTTTGGTCCAGCGTCATCCTCACAATCTTGGCCAGTGGTGAGCCATTGATGCAGCCATGAGCCAATCCATCTCACGGAGGGGCTTCCTCTTTTTTGACCACCTTTTAATTACTAACATAGATAGACATAGTAAAAGGCCTTCCTACGGTCAATAGAACACGGAAAAACATCTTTCTGTATTCCCTGCTTTGGGCCAAAATCTAGCTGACATCAGCAATAACAGCCCTTGTTCCAAGCCCTCTTCAAAATCTGGGTGCAAAACCCCATTGGCAGGAGTGGAGCTGACAGAGACCATCAGTTTCCTGGGCTAGAATGTGCCAGCTGAGAGATTCTGGTTTAAGCTGAAGTGTGCCCAGGGCTCACATACTTACTACCAGCTCCGTGGCTCCAGACTGGAAAACATTGGCTTAGAGATACTACTTTTTAAAGCATTGGAGGGACTAGGGTACACAGATTCACAAGCTCCAAGGCTCTGTACCTGAACATACAGACTTGGAGCTACTTCTTTTTCCTTTAAAAAAAAGTTTTATTGCTATAATTTGCATACCATGCAATTCAATGGTTTAGATAGATTTTAAAAGTTTTAAATTTTAAAATTTAAATCACAACTTTAAAACATGTTCTTTATTCTTATACTCATTATTATTATTAGCTCCTTATCACTGCCTAACCTCCCCTGCCATAGCCCTAAAGAATTATTAGTCTAGCAACTGTCTCTATAGCTCTGCCTTTCCTAGATTTCGTATCCCCCCCAAAAAAAAATTTTAAACCAACAATAACAACTAAATAAAACACAGAAAAATCACAATTCAAGTGAAAGAAGAGATAATAGAAACTAGAATGAATGCAAATGAATCTGGGAAAACAAATGATAACATGTGAAAATTTAACCTAACATTAGCAGTAATCCACTTTCCAATGTACTCTGACTGAGGGCCAGAGTACATTCCTGGTCTGAGGGAATTCAGTGGAGGCTTAAACCATATAGGGACCCTGCAAATAGATTTTGGGCTTTCACTGTCATCCATAGCCTTCTGCAAACCTGCAGTTCAGATTGTAAGCTCTGGTACAATTTCCTCCTCTGATCTTGAATTCATTACTTATAATCCTATGGTCACACGAGCTGGTGTGTTCCTTCCATGTGGACTTCGCTGACACTCTACTTAGATGGCTGCTTCTATTAATACAAGCCTTTAAGACCCCAGGCACGGTTCTTTTTGACAGCCTGCCATTATATGATTTTGTCACCACACTTTGCTCAGAGCTACTTCTTTTCTTTTTTTTAAACAATCCCCCAGAGGTTATTTATTGTTTGAGTAAGAGCATACGGGTAATGAAAGCAATATGAGCCATATTTTAGAACTATATTCATCACAAAGAACACTTAAAAAGGGGGGTGGGGAGCTCTCGCCCTCAGCTTCTCACTTCAACAGTCATTTCTAGTTGGACAGGCTTAGTAGCCGAGTAATGTGATCTCCTTTCCGCATGATCCGACCCAGTTGCTTTCTTGACTTTGTTTTAGAATGAATCTCTTCTGCATCACCTAATACAAGGTCCATGCACTCATCGAAGCCTAGGAGACAGCCCTCTCTCTGCATAGTCACTTGCTCATAGAGCCACACCTGAATCCAGGATCTTTTTCTTTTAGCTTAGTCTCGGCCTGTTACTTCTCTGTTTCCTGGCCTGAATCTCCTACTCCCGACAACCAGCGTAGGATACAACAAGCTGCACCATCACCTTCTCTACTTTCTGGCCGCGGCCACAGTACACCATTGTGGAAGCTCAGAGAGACCACACTGAGCTGCACGCTGGCTTAAAGAGTAACTTCCCTAGAGCTACTTCTTAAGGCAATAAAACAACCAGCAGGTAGGCATCTGCCTGCTCTGTGGCTCCTGAGCCCAAACATGCCAGCTTGGAGCTATTTTTAAAGCAGCAGAGACTCGCAGATTCACAAGCTCTAAGACCCTCTGAGCCAGCTTAGGGTTATTTTTTAAAGCTGCAGAGCAGCATACACACACACACACACACACACACGCACATGCACACATGCACACACACATTTACAGGCTCTGTGGTCCTGGGACTGACCAAGGTGGTTCAGTACTATTCAGAGGCTACACTCTTGGGAGTCACCAGAGTGAGCATGGAGAAGCACATCCTGAACCCCTCAGGACCAGTAATGAGAGTAGCGATCCCAGGAGGGGAAGCAGAAGGTGGGGGAGAAAGGGGGAACCAATCACAATGATCTACTTATAACACCCCCTCCCTGGGAGATGGACAGCAGAATAGTGGGTGAAGGCAGACGTTGGACAACGTAAGACATGACAAGATAATAATAATTTATAAATTATCAAGGATTTGTGAGGGAGAGAGGGTAGGGAAGGGAGGGGAAACAATGAGGAGCTGATACCAAGGGCTCAAGTAAAAAGAAAATGTTTTGAGAATGATGATGGCAACAAACATACAAATGTGCTTGACATCATGGATGGATGGATGATGGATGGATGGATGGATGGATGGTGATAAGAGTTGTACAAGCCCCCAATAAAAGGATTTTTTTTAAAGAGAGAGAGAGGCACATACTGGTGACTGAAAAAGCAGCAGCAGCTACTGGCTCTAATCTTGGTTTTCATTTTCTTTCTATTTTTAATCATTGTTATTTTGGTTTGTAGTTTTTGTTGTTACCCCCGCCCCCAGGATTTTCCATTGTTGTTGATGTTGTCTGCTCTTTGCTTGGCTGTGCTTCGGTTATTTCTTTCTTATACTGCCTTGTAGTAACCCACCACAATGAACCCCATGATGTGGTCGTCCATTTACACGTAGTCATTTTAACAATGGAAACATACTATATTAATTAGCCTGAGGGTAGTCATTTTGCACGGGCCCAATTTTGGTATGGCCACTTTGCAACTACTGTAATTCCTCTGGTAACTGCTGCTATCTGGAACTGCTGAGCGGTTGCTCTTTAGTCTTGAAATTGCTGATGGTGTGTCTGAACCCCCTGCTCTAGTTTTGTAAGGCCCCATAGTTCCCAATATCAGAACACCCCCTGTCTTTGTATCCCAGTTCCCCTTTGCTCTGTACAGTGCGACTCCTCCTGTCCCCGATGACTTGTTTATTCCATCGTGCAAAAATCTCCCACTTGAAGCACTCAGCGTCTTGGGAGAACGAGGCTCTAGCTGCCCAATGACTATGGTTAAATAAAGGCTTACTAACTTTAATTAAAGTTGTGTGGGGGTGCATCGATCGCATCCCAGTACAACAGCCTGATAGAATGAACTGTCCCCCCACAGCCCAGCCAACCTCACACCTGCAATGTCTAAGAGAAAACAAGCCACCTCAGCTCACAGGAAGAAACAAGAAAGACGAGCACAGGGGCTGAGCGCCCTGGCGGTGTGCCCAGGGCCAGATGCTTCCCCACCATGATGCCTCCAGGTACCTCCCCGCCCCCTGTCCCCGCTGCTCCTCCATCCGTGCATGTTGTCAGAGAAGATCAATCCCCGGAGATGGACATCATGCTTAGGAAAGTAAAAGGTCAATGACAAAGAAGACTTCCTCTGAGATGAACTGACATCATGGCTACCACCGCGGAACCAACTGTCTGAAGGGCTCCCAAAAATATTCATGGGAAAAGTCCACTATCTTCGCTCTATTTCTCCATGAGCTTTTTTTTAAATTAATGAATTTATTTTAATCATTTTATTAGGGGCTCATACAACTCTGATCACAATCCATACATACATCGATTGTGTAAAGCACATTTGTACATTCATTGCCCTCATCATTCTCAAAACATTTCCTCTCCACTTAAGCCCCCGGCATTAGGTCCTCATGTTTCCCCTCCCTCCCCGCTCCCCGCTCCCTCATGAGCCCTTGATAATTTATAAATTGTTATTTTGCCATATCTTGCCCTGTCCGACGTCTCTCTTCACCCACTTTCAGTTGTCCGTCCCCCAGGGAGGATTTTTTTTTTGGGGGGGGGGGGATTTATTTATTTATTTTTAACATTTTATTAGGGGCTTATACAACTGTCATCCCAATCCATACACACATCAATTGTGTAAAGCGCATTTGTACATCATTTCTCAAAACATTTTCTCTCCACTCAAACCCCCAACATTAGGTCCTCATTTTTCCCCTCCCTCCCCGCTCCCCCCCGCCCCGCACCCCGGGAGGATTTTTAAAGCCACCTCTTACCTACAAGGATGAGGATGGGAAGGGACCAGACAGAGTTCCCTTCTGTAATGCATGTGAATGAGTTGGAGCCAACTCAATGACATCTATCAACAACATGCAATTAGAATGATAGACACAGAGGGAGGTTCCCCTATTGGTTGAAGTGATTGAGCTTTAATCCCAAGAGGAAATTGGCTCGCTGTTATCAATTGGCTTGCTGTTATCAATAGGAATAAGAAGCACTACATTGTTTGGGAGCCAGCAGATTCGATGATGTGTGGTTTCCATATCGGTAACAATGGCCACTAATAGGTTGGAGCTTTAACGAACGCATCTACATTTCAAGAAGCAAGAAAGTGGGTGTGCCAAAAGCGAAGAGCACGTGGCAGCTAATTGGGCCCCCTTCTAAAGGAACGCAATGGCATGGGTTTACATTTCATGTGCCCTAATGTGATTGCACAGTCATCCCACTTTATTATTTTTTTTAATTAATCAATTTATTGGGGCTCATACAATTCATCACAATACATAGATCAATTGTGTAAAGCACATCTATACATTTGTTGCCCTCATCATTCCCACTTTAAAGACCAAAGTGGAAACAATCAAACCCACTGCTACCGACTAGGACAAGTCTATTTTCTCACCCTGGCCTGATGCTAAATCAGCCTAACCATGCCAAAATTGCAGGCTTCCTGTAGAACAGGAGGCAGGTGAAAAGGGATAGAGTCAACAACCAACAGGCTCTATCTCTGTCTCCCTGAGACTATCAATCATTCACTGGTCCTTGGAAGATTATCATTGTGCCCATGAACAGAACTATTCATGTTTTTAATTTTCCGGTGTCACATGATGAGTGTGGCAGCAAAGATATTGACAGTTGCTTCCTTGTTGTTCTTTGATGGCCATGTATGCTAAGGTTTTTGGGAACCCAACACAGTGATGGAACGATGGGATGGGATGATGTCAGGATCAGCTCCTAATAAAATTGTTTGGGGGAAAAAAGGGGGGATTAACAACATCCTCAATAAAAGCACATAAACGACATGTCTGGAAGAATTAGGAGCATTTGGGCAGTGCCCACGAGGCCCTGATGGCGCAGTGGTTACGAGTTGGACTACAATCTACAAGGTCTGCAGTTTGAAACCACCAGCTGTTCTGAGGGAGAAAGACTGGGCTTTCTACTCCTGTAAAGAGTTACAGTCAATCAACTAGAACCCCCTCCCAGGGGGACGAGTAACGGAAAAGTGGGTGAGGGGTGACAGAGGATAATGTAAGATATAGAAAAAAATAATCTTTAACGTATCAAGGGCGCATGAGGAAGGGCAGGTGGAGGAGGGAGGGGGAAGAAATGGGGAGCGGATTTCAGGCACTCAAGTGGAAGAGAATGCTTTGAAAATGATGATGGCGACCTATGTGCAAATGTGCTTGACACATTGGAGAAATGTATGGATTGTGATAAGAGCTGTACGAGTCCCCAATGAAAGTATTAAAAAAACAAAAAAGTTACCGTCTTGGAAACTCACAGGACCAGTTCTACCCTGTCCTATAGAGACTCGTTGGCGGTGAGGTTGGTGGGGTTTTTTTTAGTTTGGGTGGTGGCTGTCTGGCCTTGGCACAAGAAACCCCATTTTGAGTCAGGCGCTTCCATTTCAGTTTGTGAAATGTACCCCTCACCGGCCTCCCCCTCCCTTTGGTAAACCACAGATGCCCAAAATTGCACATTCTCACTAACAGGATGCTTGCTCAGCTCGTTTGCTCAATTCCCACCCAATTCCCGAAAAGTTTAGCGACTGCTTCCTTTTTTGAAATCCCCTGTGTAAGCATGCCCCCCCCCCCCCAACCAGCTGGGCCTGTCAGCAAGGGGTATAAGAACACTGCTAAAATTCTCCACTGCGCGGCTTCACTAGCTCACTGCCCCGAGTTGCTGAACCCGCCCACAAGCTTCACAATAAAGCCTGCTTCTAAAACTTCATTAATTGGATCTTTGGTTCTGTTTCGCACCCAAATGGACTTTACAGTGGCCAGTCTTATTCGCTTCTTAATTTTAGGCGTTATGGGTTGAATTGTGTCCTCCAGAATATGTGTCCTAAATCCAAACGCCTATATCTGAGGCTATCATCCCAGTGGGGGATGTGTTTTGTTTTGTTCAGGAAGAAGGCTTGTTGTCCCAACACAGAGCCGCCCTTGGTACAACAGAACAGAACACCGTCCGGACCTGCGTCATCTTCACAGTTGTTGCGTGTTTGAGCTCCTTATTGTATGTAGCCGCTCTGTCCATCCATGTCCTTGAGGATCTTCCTCCATATCGATGCCCTTCCACGGGACCAAACATGATGTACTTTTCCAGGGACTCGTCTCTCCTGAGATGAGCCCTGGTGTCACAGTGTGTTGGGCTGCTAACCCAGCAAGGTCAGCAGTTCAAAACCACTCACCTCTCCATGGGAGAAACATAAGGCTTCTGACTCTTGCGAAGAGCTCCAGTCTTGGGAATTCACAGGGCAGTCCTACCCTGTCCCATGGGGTCATTCGGAGTCAGAATCAACTCCATCGCAGGGCGTTTGGGTGTGTCCTGATAACATATCCAAAGTATCGGG